TCATATGGGGAGGCTGTGATAAAAATTTGAGAAGGTTTCGTGCAAGTTGTCACGTACGATGCTTACCACCTTGTCGACCTCTTCACGAAATCATGAAACTTCTTCGGAGATTCTTCGGTTTGCAAGCATCGTACGTGACAACTTGTGCGAAACCTTCTCAAAATTTTATCACAACCTCCACATATAATATCATGACATCTTGACAAGTTTCATGATTTTCGGTCTTCGTTTGCTTTTTTATAGAATTTAAAAACAACTGGACCACGAGTTCGTGGTCATGTTTCGTGAACAAGATGTTCAAAATTGGTGGTCTGGTCCTGGATACGGCCTCACATTATACTAAAAACATGAATATCATTTTTTCATTATTCGAATGACTAGCAGTTATAATTTGAATTATCTAAGAATATTCAATTAAATGAAATAAATTAAAGAAATATAGAAAAATCCGAGAAATGTGCCACATTGGAACATGGAGCACCAGGTATTGTATGAGGACTGCAGAAAAAGTTTGGAGGCCAAAAGTAAAAAAAGGTTTGCAGAGTGTCAAAAAATGACACTCGGCAAATAACCGCTTTACCGAGTGTAAAAAAATGACATTCGACAAATCACCACTTTGCCGAGTGTCAGAAAAAGCACTCGGCAAAGGGTAACGGCGGCTGCCGGTCGTTAACGGCGGCGGCCCTTTGCCGAGTGTCAGGAGAATAACACTCGGCAAAGCCAGTTTTACCGAGTGTTATTGTTTGCCGAGTGCTCGCCACTCGGCAAACCACCTCTTTGCCGAGTGCTTTATCTCTGGCACTCGGTAAACAACCTCTTTGCCGAGTGCCCGATAAAAAGCACTCGGCAAAGTGTGGGACACTCGGCAAAGAAGGCGTCTCCGGTAGTGTTTTATATATATGAGAGGATCACGACCGATTGAAGGATCCAACATAAAATCGTCAAAAAACACATCTACTACATCTCTCTACCCTCTTTTCCTTTCTACCTCTTCTCCACGTTCTTCGTCAGTGCTGCATGACTGGAGGATCGACGACGACGACGACGCTCTAGAGCGGTTAGGCCGGCTAAAGCAGCACATAGCATCTGCGCGCCCCGATGGGGTCTCTCCCGGGCGTGTGGGGTTTCGGGTCTCAAGAGAGACCTCGCCGGCGTGTCTTGCATATCGCGCTCCCGACGAGGCTCCTCCGGCGACGTGTCTTACTTATCGCGCTCATCGCTGCAGGCATAGGTCTGGGTGTGGATATTCTCTTGGCGCCGGTCGATCCCTAAATCAGCTAAGTGCTACGTTGAACGATTTAGCTGCTTATCGGGCGTGTGACCTAATTAAGTGTTGGCGTATTAAAAGTACGCCTGCTCTGAAACCATTTGGTACGCAGGACGGGAGACAAGACACGGTGCGACGTATACGTTCCCGGCACGCACCGGCGAAGCTACGTGGTGGCCATAGTGGGCCATGGCCCCCCTTGCCTCCGTGATTTGCTGAAGCCCCTGTCCATGAGCTATGAAGTCTGCAAACTAGCAGTAAGTTTGCATGCGCCCTAAGTCTGCATGGATTGTAAGCCAGCAGCCAGGGTCAGGCATGCATGTCTCTACATAGACATAGAAATTGTGTAGCATTTCCTCCATCTAAAAAATAAAAAAAGCAATTATGTACCAGTGGTCCCACCCGCTCGGCTCAGCCGTTAGTCCATTAGCCTGTTTTCTTTGCTTCTGTTGCTATGCGCCGTTTTGAGTCTTGTTGATTTTTCTATCTTTTTTCCTTCCTAACTTTTCAATCGATAAATTCTACATAGTATGTGTATTAGAATTGCTAATTGAGTAATATATATTGGGGTTGTCAATCGATATCTTATGTTGCTTTTTTTATAGAATTTTTTATGCTCAGCTATTGTGTTGTCAAATGTATTTTGTATACTGTGGCTTAATTATAAGTACTTCCATTAATTTTGTTCACTACTTATATACATATAGATCCAATTGACAAATGGCCCCACTTTATTTTACTTCAGCCTCCGCCACTGCCGGCACGACAGAGCTACACCCGGTGCGACGTGTATGTTCCCGGCACGACAGAGCTACCCGCCGGAATCGTGGAAAAGGATGGTACGGCTCGGGTAGCTTTCTCTTTTCTGGCAGTAACTTCGACGTCCATGGCCACGGTGCACCCGCGCTGCACGCAACAGCTCACCTCGCACGCAGAGGAAGCTGGAGCTCGGTCTTCACAGCTCACCCCTGCTGCGTCTAGGATGAGGACCGGAGACAGGAAGCGACACAGAGAGAGACAAGAGAAGCTGTGAAGACCGATCGAGAGCATACGCATACGCATGCGTGTGTGACATTGCTTCGATGCTGTGGTGCCCGAAACTCCCGGTAAATGCGAGCCAGCGAAAAGGCATGTGTGACGATCGATCGAGATGGAGGAGATGTGTGAATGAACACAGAAAAATGAAATACTCCTCCGTACTATAATAAGGAGAAAAGGCATGTTCGGGTTGGAGAAGTAAAGCCGACGTGGTCGTGCACCCGGAACCGGGGAGGGAGACGTGTCGCGCGCGCCCATTCGTCAACTGACATGGATGGCCATCCGCCCATCCGTCTGCGCCTCGGGCTCTCGGCGTCTGCGTGTCTTCTCCGTCCATTATTCAGAGCTGACCGCGCTGCCAATCGCCATTCGTCTCTCGTCTCGTCGGTTGACGTGGGCTTCCGTCCGCCTTGCGAGGTCATTCATAAGTGGTTAGTACTAGTACTATAATTAGATAGAGTAGATGGGTCCAAGCCCCCCCAACTGTACACGCACACCACACCACCCACCACGCCAACCTTAACGCCAAGCCAGCGACGTCTTCCCGGCTCGTTCGTGCGTAAGTACCTGACCAGTGATCAAAATCAAACTCGAGGAAAAAAACGGGTCATCATCGGATCGGATAAGGGCGGCAGGCAGAGTCAGGATCCAGGACGCGCCACACGGGAGCAGAGCAGCAAACTAGGCGACCTTTGGACACCGTCCGGCCAGTCCTGCTGACTCCTTGCCTGGGGCCGTTGGGCACAGGATGGGAACCGAATGGAGCGCCGCGAGTTTTTTCTGCGCGGGGGAAGCAAGGACAAGGGCCAACCACCGCCGCTGGGTCGCCGGGAGCCCGGCACGGACGTGGAAATGCCCAATGGGACGACGCTGGGTCCGTACTTCGTAGTAGACGTTAGGTGCGGGGAGGTACATCGCGACAAAATATTCGTAGCAAACCACATCTTTGATGTAATCCATGAAAACCACATTAAAACTATACTTAAAAGTTTTCAAAAAATTTAAAACTATGCACACCAACAATGCATCTGTAGATGTGCATTGTCACAAAATTTGAGATTCAAACGGTTTTCACGATTGCACCGAAGATATGGTTTGCACTGAATATTTTACCGTACATCGCGGCCATCCTGCACTGTTGCTCGGTGTCTTAGCATCTCCACAAGTCCCCCAATACAACTCTCCTGATAATATGGTATTATGGTAGCCTAATATCACTTTTTAGATTTATTGGGCGAGATGCTGCAACAGTACCCTAATATATCTCTCCCAATACCCATATGAATGATGGATTCAACAGGAGTGCAAGAGAAAATATGGCTGAAAAGTGGTCGTTGTGACGGTCCACATGGTATCGGAGGAGTTATATCTCCCCCTTTCTTTGAGGGGAGATGAGAAAAATATTGGTGACCACCAAAAGAAAAGGAGAGGTATTGAGAAACTACCGGAGCAAGAAAAAAATAGCTATCTCTAATATGATAGTTTTATATGGATAGAGGGAGGTATTGTAGAACTGCAGGAGATGCTCTTATCCGATTTCTAGAAGGGGGGAGCTGGGGAGTGTTCGGCTGGTCTTATCAGCCAGCTTATTCGTTGGCTTATAAATCATGGTACAGTATTTTTCTCTTTAAAAAAATCAGCCATACAAATTAGCACCAGCGGCTTTACAACCAGCCGAACAAGCCCCGGTTGGCGGAATGGATTAGAAGAGAAGAGGGCTGACGGAGTTGTTAATTGTTAGCGATCTTCTCATGATTAAGGAAGAATAGGACAGAGGCCGGTGCCGGACTCGCTAGTAGTTGAGATTGAGCACGGTGGTATATACGGCAGGGGCAGTGGAGCGTCGCTGTGATGACTGATGATGGCATTCTCTCTGCGCCATCATGGTTTGCGGTGGTGAGGCAGAAGAATGTGTCTGTATGCGTACTGTATGTGTGTGAGGCACGCGTGGAAGAGGAGGGCCGGGTTAACAGTTCAGATCAGGGGCACAGCCATACAGGACATGATCGAGTTTTTTCTTTGGGGCTTCTTTCAAGAGGCGCCGACGATAAGATCATAAGATGAGCAGCAGAGAGATTTCTGTTTGCTGTTGCATTTTCGACTTGGTGGGCCGTTGGGTCTGCCTATTCGTCGGTCCAACTTATGGCCCCATTTAGTTGCTTATGATGTAGTCCATAATCCTCCTCCATGTAATTTGGTAACCCATAGCTTAGCTGTCCTCGGGGCGAGTTTTGAGTCAGGTCAGAGTACTGATCCAGTTCTGGACAGTATTCCGTTTTGTATTTAGTCGCTTGTAGCCAAAGATTTGGCCTTGGTTTATAAATTATGGATTTACCTTCCTTGTTTTAAAAAAAAAAAAAAAAAAAAAGATAACCCCTAAAATGGAAATTAGCATTCCATGAGAAGTAAGCATCATCGGTATTAAAAAGTGGGACAACTAGAGTCTCCAATCAACATTACTTTGCTTGTAAACCATCACATTACATGCTGTCCAACAAACATAGACATACCATTTTACTGAGCCACTGCAAATGGCCATACACACGAACCAGTTCTTTCCGGAAGAAACCTCGATCTAAGAAAACTATAAAGTAAACCAACCAACCAACCAAACCGTCTAGAAAAGGAACAAACTGAACGAGAACCTGCAACTACTCAAACTATTTTGCACAACGGGGAAAGAAGAGCTTCGGAGTCAGCGTCGATTTGCTATACTGAAGGAGCTGACTTTCATTGGTGTAGCAACAACAAGCGGTGCTTCTGGAGAGTCACTGCTTGCAAACTTCTCGTGCATGAAGCGGCTGTCGACAATCGATTCATCCTTGAGGACAACTTTGTAGCAGTAGCAGCTCTTGAGGCCCTGCTGATCACGGTAGCACTCATGGTTGCTGTCCTTGACTCGCTGGAAATTCCAAATGACACTGAATTTGCCCACTGTAGCAACAAGGTGCTTTTCCTGCTTCCCGTTCTCTGTTACCTGATGAACTCAATTGAATGCAGAGAAACAGACATCAGAACAAATTCTGAACTATATTGAAGCATCAAGGAACATAAAATTCATAAGAAGCCAATACAATAGAAACGATCACACTAAAGCAAAGTTTTGCAATGCAAACACAGATGAACGCACTTGGCTACTCAACTGTTATAATATTCTAACATTACTAATTTACTATGCAATAAACTGGAACTGCGAGTTACCATTACAGGCAATGAGAAGTGTTCAAGGTGAGATTCATAAGCAGCCAATTTACAAGCAAATGATCACAATAAGCAAATGACGGTCACTACTACATAGAATTTTTGCAATGCAAATGCACATCACTTCACTAAAAATGGAATGCACTATATGCAATAAACTTGAACTGCAAATTACCGTTACAGGCAATGAGAAGTGTCCAAAGGTGAGATATATTTAAAAGTGGTCTTTAAGCAAGGTTATTTTTTTAGAAGTATAAGCAAGGTTATTTTCGCCTTATGAATTGTTGAATCCGCTTCTCAAGGTTAAGTAAACAACTATAACATGATTCTACAAATGTCAGATTAGGAACATAATTATTGCCCCCTACTTCAAACATGTACTTCTTACTACGTGCAGAGATCATGCTGTTAAAAATGAGGACAAAACAATCACTTCATACTAGTTGTTACCACTTCGAGATAAAACATGAATAAAGCGTTCATATGCATAGAACAAAGGGTGAACAAGTTCTTTCCTCTGTGAATTGGCATTTAATTGGTACAGAGTTACTTCTTGTGAGAATAATTCCATTACAGCTATACAAATCACTTGCATAAATTAGTTAGTGCAGCAATGAACTGTTACTATGACCAGGACCAGAGAAATCTAGACAATTCACTTATCATGAATATCTGAATTAGCATTCTATTTAATTTTACTAGATTAGCTACAGGGGCATCTATTATTATGTGCTCAGAACAGGAGATTTGAACGTACCCATGAGAATTGCCCACCATGGAATTTGTTGCGAGTCCCTGCTAAAATTGAATCAAGTGGAGTGAGCTTCAGCAGCCTTGGTGCAGCAATCCTATTTCCCATACGGCCACTAAACCCAGTCTTTTCTTTTCCATCTTTGTCCTTGAAGATGGTGCATATCAAGATCAAGTATGTGTCAGTTGTTCCCAAAATCCATTTCCCATCATAAGTAACATCCACATGTGTAATTGGAGACCCAAGCCCTGGGAATGCTGTTTTCGCCATACGCATCGAGCTCTTAGAATAGAGTCTAATCTTCCCATCCACAGAACCAACAACAATTGAACCATCCCCAGTACTTGCAAAGCAATTGAAGTTGGTGCCCCGCGAGAACTGATGACCCTGTGACCAGTTCAGCACTGGTGACTCTGATGAGCTACCGATTGTCTGCACCCTGCCTCTGGCATCGCGCATATCCCATCTACACAACCTGTTGTCATCCAGGCCTAAGAATGTCGACCCGGAGGGTTCCAACTGCGCCCCCTTACTGTCATTGGCAATGTCTCGCATTGTGATATCAACTCCATCCTTCTCAAACCGCCATTCGGCGACAACCTTCCCAGTCTCAATATCGAGATGGTGGACACCACTGGAATGCAGAGCCTCTCCTGGGCTCATCAGCAGCATGTTAGTCTCGCCGCGCATCAGCAGTGCCTTCTTCGGTGTCGAATAGGCGCTCCCACTGCCGCCACGGCCTCCCGAGATCCTCACCGACGCGCCCTTCCCATGCAAGCCATGGCGGAAGTTCTTGACCACCTGTATCCCGGCGCCACCGACCAAGAAGCTGTTGTCAAGCGCCCCAAGCGCGAGGCTCTGGATGCTGTCGCCGTCGCCGGCCTCCTCCTCGAACTCCTCAAGCAGGTCCTTCGCTGGTGCTGCAGCGGGAGGGGTGAGGCTTTCCTCCGCGTCGGCCCAAACAGCGTCGTCGGCCTCGGCGGGCCGCGCCCACGCGGCGAAGTCGGCGCCGAACACCTCCTTTCGCCCCTCGTCCGTGGCCTCGACCCCGTACGTGTTCTCAAAGAGGCAGCGCTCGTAGTCCACCCTGAACCGGCGGAATTCGGCATCGGTGGGCAGTCGCAGAGCCCATACGGAGCCGCTCGCGGCGAAGTCCGCCCGGCGCTGCGCGGGGATCGTCTTCAGCTGGAGCGCCGAGTCCACGGGCGCGGAGACCCGCGGCCCCGGCCCGACCTCCAGGAACCACCTGGTGGAAGAGTCGTCGTCGCTCGACTTGTCGACGAAGGCGTAGGTCGCGCGGCGCTCGGCGGGCACCCAGTGCGCGGAGGGCGAGGCTCCGCCGATGTGGAGGTAGAGCTTGGCGGAGGTCGGACGCTGGTACTTGAGATCCAGCGACCTGAGCTTGGCGTCGATGGCCTCAAGCGACGAAGGGGTGGCGGTGCGGAGGAGGTCGTCGTCGCGCTGCCCCGCGCTCGCAGCGGCCTCCGCGATGGGTGATCGGGCGTCGTAGTCGTCCTCGTACTCCTCCTCCTCGTCAGAGGAGGTGAGGTCGATGTCCTCGCGGCTGTGGGAGCCGCCCATGGCGGTTGCGGTGGAGGGGAATTCGGCTCGGGAGTTGCGAGACGGGCGACCCGGGGTGCGGTGCGAGAGAGATCGTGAATTGGTGATGGAGGCGGGGAAAGTGAGGTCGGAGCGGCGGGGAGCGTGTAGTACGCTGCAGGAGCCGATGTGGCAGGGGGCAGGGGATGGTCGGTGCGTGTGGCGGACGCGACGCGCCCCACGTGACGGAGACAGCGAGGCCGACGAGGTTCCTTCGCGAAGGGGGCGAAGTGGTTTTCTACTTTTTTTTAATGATGATATTTTTTATTTGAGCGAATGACGATGGGTTTGATTTTTTTTTTTGAGGAAAACGATGGATTTTGATGAGAGAGACTGAGAGAGCTGACTAGGAAAGCAACGGTGAGCATTGGGCCTGGGTCTGGCGAAAGCTGGGTTGGGCCGTGGAACCATAAGGCCCACGTGAGTGTGCGACTCGCCTGACACAGGCTATATGGCCCGCCCGTGTCTTCTTCCTATCGCCTCCAACTCCACACAAAACTAGAAGCTTCACTCCACTCTGCCCTCCGCCGCCGCCGCAGCTGCCGAAGGCGGGAACTTGGCGGTGCTACTGTACGCGACTGCTCTCATCTCGTTCCCGCGCAGGGAACCCCAAACTCTCTGATCCAGTCTCATGTCTGATTCCGCATCTGTGTTAGTCCCCCAAGGTTTTGGAACCCTAGAAGCCTAACTGTTGGTTGTCGACGCCATCTCCTCTCGGTCCGTGAGCTGGTCGCGCGCAATTTTGTGGTTTAATTTCGTTAGTTTGATTCGGTGTTTCGATTGGCGTAACCCTTGTGTCTGAGTGGTCATACTGTGGCCATCTCGTGCTTAGATTGGAGTTGCTGAGCGTTCGCGTCGAATTCGCCTGACGTTTGTTATTGTTATAAAATCGCCTGTTCCCCCCTTCCGTAGGGCTGTTCCGCTGTCCCTTTGGGTCAATAGAGTTACCCCTTTGGTTTAGGGAATAGGGATCTAGCTTTGCTTGCAAGGATCAGAAATTGTTCAGTCTTCCAAATATGATTATGACCACTCTGTTGTAAATTTGCGATGTGTGGCTGTATGCTGTAGCAGAAAGCATCAGCTGGTACTCATTTTTGTTTAGAACATTGTTGAATTACGAATATGGTTGGCTATTCATACTGGGGATTGTGGCAGGTGGTGTCTGTGTGATGTTCTGTGAGACATGTCTTGATTTCTGTGACTCATCCCTTACCCTTAGTATCTTTTGGACATGAAAATTGTTTATAATGTGTTCTTTTGGTTAATTGTTTGGGAGTACTAATTTGAATTAACTCTATTTGTTCCTCTTGTGACTAAGTTCAGGATTTGTTCACAATGGCCCGTGTGTATGTTGGCAACTTGGATGCACGCGTGACTTCTGGGGAACTCGAAGATAAGTTCCGTGTGTTTGGAGTTCTGCGAAGGTCACTTTTTGTCAAACTTTATCCCGGTTTTGTATAGATATGTTTTTATAGTTTTTTATGTTTTCCGCCTTGAACGCATGGCAAACCAACGTAAGAACCTTGTCATTCATATGGTGATGAAACCCAGAGAACAGCTTTATGATGTTTTAGTGATTTATTTATGAGCTTACTAACTTATTGGAGAGGGTGATAGTTCAGAACCAACTTTGATTTCACTTTGCTCATATTCTTCGTCAGATGTTTGTGTGGCCAACTTCCTTACCCAGTTTGTTAAACTTGTTTCGTTCACCGTGATATTTGACTTTCAAGGGCTTTGGTTGCCTTATAAAAAAAATATTGATTGCGGTGGTGTAAAACTTTGCAAACTTGATCGTGCAACTATTTTGTCTGCAGAGGTGCTTTGTATTGTTTATGTCCACTGTGCATGCTCTTCCAACCATTTCTTATATATTTTTTTTAAAAAAGGGCGTACCCAGTGCAGAGAGCTCCTGTTCTGTGCGGGGTCTGGGGTAGGGTGTTAGTGGCAAGCCTTACCCTCGCCTGTGCAATGCGAGGAGACCGTGACTCGAACCCGGGACCTTCCGGTCACAGGCGGTAAGACTCTACCGCTTGCACCAGGCCCGCCCTTCCAACCATTTCTTATTTTAAGAAAAAAATATTTTGGATCTTTTAGATGGAGGTATGCAGTCATACGTATCTTCATGTTTGATTTAGTGAGATGGATATGTTTTACCTGTTATATGTCCGTTACGACTTCTTTCTTTATGAGATGAAATGTGCTGTTTCACCTGGTGTAGTTCGCTAACTGCTGTTCTCAATGCAGTGTTTGGGTCGCACGTAAACCACCTGGCTTTGCATTTATTGATTTTGATGACAGGAGGGATGCGGAGGATGCTATTCGTGATCTAGATGGTATGTTAGCAGTATCTTTTGGTTGAACTTGTTTGAAGATCTGCCTGGACACACTTTAGTTTTATGAAGAGAAATCCTGTGATTGTCCGAAAAGTTGTTCAATCAGTATTAAGAGCTTGCTTCTAGATTTGGCATTTTTTGGGTGAACGAAGCAGCATTTGGATTGTTCTGGATTTGCAATTTGTTACTCTTACTCCTCACTTTGCTATTATTTATTTATTTTTTGCTGGTGTTAACTATACTTTGGTGTATTGTTTCCAAAATAGGTAAGAATGGATGGAGAGTTGAACTATCTCGTAATTCCAGTGGTCGTGGTGGTCGCGATCGGTATGGTGGATCTGAGTCGAAGTGCTATGAGTGTGGTGAGACTGGACACTTCGCACGTGAATGTCGTCTGCGCATTGGCTCTGGAGGTCTAGGTAGTGGAAGACGTCGCAGCAGGAGCAGGAGCCGCAGCCGCAGCCCTAGATACCGCAAGAGTCCGAGCTATAGTAGAAGGTAACCATTTTTTTTACTTTGTAGATTTCAGTTGTAAATTAACTCTCAAATTTTATTGCTTAACCTTAAATGCTGCCTGTATCTTTCTTCGGTACTCCCTCAATTCCAAATTGTAAGTTGTTCTAGCTTTTCTAGATACATAGCTTTTTACCATGTATCTAGACATAATGTATGTCTAGGTATTGAGCAAAAGCTATGCATCTAGAAAAGTCAGAACGACTTACAATTTGGAACGGAGGGAGTAACTGATACTATTCTGCTTTAATGCCCTTCTATTGTAGATTCATTACGGGCTTGGATTTTGGCTAGCAAGCTTGCAATTTGCTACTATGCCAAAATTGCTTTTCTCATTTTGCAGGCTTCTCTAATTCTTTCTTCTAAGGGACAATTGTCTGGCGGACATCCAAAGTGATGGTTGTTTGCTGGTGGACATCCCGTTTTGAGCAGTTTGCCAGAAGGCACTCTAGTTCGGTGTCCTGTGGCCTCAACCGGCTGCAACCGGTTCGCGGTGTCCTGTGCCCTAATTTCACCGAACCAGAGTGTCTTCTGGCAACCAGTCCGCGGTGTCCTGTGGCCTAATTTCACCGAACCAGAGTGTCTTCTGGCAAACTGCTCAAAACGGGGTGTCCGCCAGCAAACGACCATCACTTTGGATGTCTGCCAGACAATTGTCCCTTCTTTTAATTACCTTTTACAAAGCAGACTTAAATTAACTACTCTGCTTGCAGGAGCTATAGCCCTCGTTATCGCTCTCCAAGGCGTCGTAGTCCTTCGCCAGCTCGTGGGCGCAGCTATAGCAGGTCGCCGTAGTACAACTGCAACAAATAGGTATCTCCCTTGCTAATGGGTATGCAAATCAGTGAAAATACAACTCTATGTTCCTGGACAGCTTTATAGAATACATATACCTCACATTGCCATGTGCTGTTATGCAGAGGTAATGATGGCAGGTACTGGTGTAGCAGGAGCTAGGCCTGAAGCCCGTGCCTGATTCTCCTCTGTGTGAGAACTTGGTCCTTGGTTTGGCTGTCAGGAACAAATTTGGAACTGTCGTCAACTGCATGACTTCAGTTCAGGTTTAAAACCTTATCTAGCTTATTGTGATTGTCTTGATTATGCCATTAAAGAACTTTTAAGATTTGGATGTATCATGCCACTAAGACATATTACCTTTCTTCTCTGTGTTAAAAAGGCATGTTCTGCTTAAACGACTCGGCCAACTACGGCTCTCAGTTGTAGTCTTCATGGTTTTGTTCCTCCATTCTTGGCACGTCCTTACCTGCAAACGTTGTCAACCTTTCATTACTATCTGCCTTCAATGTTTCATCATGAAATTCTTCACCGAAGATGCTACTTCGTCACAAATTAGTAATATCCTTTTCCCCATATAGTTGATAATAAGGATTGAGTGTACTGAGCACTAACAAATGCAGCTCGCGAAAGTAAGGCCCTTGATTTTCGTCATAGAACAAGAGCAGTTATTTTAATTGCAGCACTCACGTGAAAATAAATCTACTCTGCATGCTGGGGATTGGGGCGAATGAAGTGTGGCCTTCAGCTGCACCTAGTTGGGCATCCAAGGAACCTAGTCAGGCTGACTTCAGCAAGAGGCGCTGCCTTCGACTAAACGTGTTAGTTTTATTTCTTGTGGTTTTGGTTCTTCACTTCTGTTCCTTGTGTTCTGCCTTCACTGCACCGTATTGGTAGTGGTTGAGTAATGCTTCTGTCTGTGGTAAGTAATTCTTGGTACAATTGCTCTTCTTTTTCTCCTGATCAGTGTATGTTGGACTTTCTGATAGAGTTAGCATCAATTGTAGTATAAATATGTCCGGAAATTAATTGTAATTCTATGTGGATACTCTCAGAAAACATACACAGATTTGAGGTATAATCTGCTCTTGGCGAATGATTTTTTTAAAGATCATTCCAGTGTCCCCTAGTCTTCTTCTGAATGCTTCATTTGGGCCATGCTGGACTTCCGCATCTGTGCAATAGTGCTATCGTATTGCTTGGCATTCATGTTGCATGTTAGTTGCACTTTTCCTTATGGAATGATGGATGGTTCCTGTTATTCTTGCATTGCATTTGCGTGCCATAGAGGATATGGTGCAGCAGTTTAATTTGGATCTTGTATTAATTGACCGTCTT